AGTTGGGGAGAAGAGGGAGAGAGGAGAGTTCTAACTAGGAATGGTTCAGGCTTTCTAATCCTCAAAGTCCCCCCCAAAATGACATGCCTCCTTCAAGAAGACCACGTCTCCCAACCCTTCTCAAACAATTCCATCAACCTGGCACCAAGCATTCAAATATACTCGCCTATGGGGACCGTTTTCATTCCAACCACCACAGGTGTCATTCAGGTAACTCAGGCCAACCCAAGCAAGAGAACTGAATCAAGAATATACACAGTTGGTACCAAAGAGATTGCACATTGATCCTGCAGAGTCCATATCAGGTTTACTACATGAGACCTTACATCAAACTCACTCCACTACTTAAAAACATGAATACATTTGCAAATGTACTGCATTATATTTAAATAAGTTCAACTTTGAATAGCTATTATGGTATTGTACATATCTTAAGTTGATAATGAGTTCCATAGCAAAAAAGGAGGGTAGCATTTTATAAATATTAATCCCTATCCATGACCTACATAGTACCATTAGTTTTAGTTCAGTTATGTATAAATTCTGTCTTTCCAATGGGCAGAATTACATGACAAATTAAAAGAGCTAAAGAAAAAAAAATAGTAAATATTGTTAAATTTTACCCAGTATACTTGCTGTTTTAAATTTGTTTTTATAACATAATAATACTGGTCTTGATTTTGACATTTAAATCAACATTTGTTTATATACTATAATTTTTATTTCATCAGGGGAAAATGTTTTGCTAATGAGTAAAACTGTTTTTGAGCATGATAGATTTTTCTGTTGTTGTTATATGTAAAAGACACTGTCTCAAGACCTGTATTACTGACTGTGCAGCTCTCCAGCCTCTGGAGCAGCTAAGGCAGGAGGAGGCTCTCAGCCTTCAGTAGAGCTTGTGAAACACCCGTTTTCCATAGAAGACACTAGAAATGGCCCTTGATCACAAAGAGGATACTGTCTCTCAAGAGTCAGTGTGAGTCAACGTTTGTTGATGATGTTTCTGTTGGATGGAAGAAAACCTAGGCTTGTGTTCTCTAGGATATGCCTAGGGTCTGAAATAGTATGTGCATGTAGTTGTGTACACAAATAAAAAAATAAGGTGTATGCAATATCCATATCTTAAAAACAGAAATACCCTGCCCATTTCTCCCTCCTCAAATGCAACTTTTTGCTTTTTTTTTAACTTTTATATTTTCATAGCAACATTCATGTTTCTAAATAATAAGCTGTTCTATGAGAAAAACTTTAGCTGAGGAGATTCAACACACAGGTCTACTCACCCTAGTTAGGGGACACCAAAGTCCAGTTTGATGAAGCCATGTGTTTTATTGGGGTTACTTACAGAAGTATAGGTGAGAAGCAGAAAGTTCTCTTTGAATCACCAATGCCCACCCCAGCATGGGTGACAGCTCACACAGCAGGGAACCTGGAGAACACAACCCAGCCTTCAGGCAGCTCTACCGATTGAGAATGTCCTTCCCAGGTGCCTCACTTGGGCTAAATATCTTCTAGCTGATTGGTCTGGTCTGAGTTTTCTTGTGAATTTTCTTCTCTGAGAGTTTCTTCATAGCTCAGCGTGTTTGAGTCTCTGGCAGGCCAGTTTTCTAGTCTTCTGTGTACCTCAGCTTTGGTCCGAAGTAGACGCTCAGACTTCATTGCTTACTTTGGGAGACGCCTAGCGAATCTGGTCAGTTCAGCTATTTTGAGTTGTTTACCATTCTGTTTAAAGACTTCCCTGCAGGATGGGGACCAAATATTTCAATCTCAGAGGAAACTGTTACACACATAAGCGTACGGTGGAGAGTGATATTGATGTCCCATTAGGAAAGCTGAGGCTTTGGCTCTCTTGTCTTTCCCTCTTGCCATTGCAAATGTACCTTTCCATCCTATGCCCTCTCTTTATAATATTACTGTACTATAATCTTGCTTAGATTGAGGTTCAGCCCAGCTGAACCTGGTGGTAACTGCAATTACTTTTTTATCTGAAGTTATATTGATTCTTTTTAATTTGCTAGGTTTTCTGTACAGTTTTGAATTTTTCATTTTCACTAGGGAATTGTTTTTTTTTTTAATTACTGTTTAATTTAAGTTGATGCATGTGTTGGGGAGTGGGACTCATGGAGACCAAAGTGGGTCAGATCCTTTGGAGTTAAGGCGGTTATTTGTGGGTGCTGGGACTAAACTCAGGCCCTTCGGAAGGATCCTAGGTGCTCTTAGAGCAGCTGAGCCGTTTCAGGAGCCTGCTTGTTTGTTTTGAGGCAGAGTCTTACTACACAACTGAGGCTTTCCTGGAATTTACTGCTTAGCAGAGGCTGGGCTTGAGATTGCAGCAACCTTGAGATTGCAGCAGTCCTGGTGCAGAGTCTCCCCAGAGCTGGGATTGCAGGCATGAGCCACTGCAATCAGCTCCATCCAGCAGGCTTAAGTCTTGGCTAATTGTTTAGTGAAAGTCTGTTACTAATAAGTAATAGCTGCTAAAAGAATGAGTTATGTGTCTAGTTTTGTATAAAAAAGGTATTTTAAAGTTTATATTTTGAATATACTTTTAAACACATACATACAAGTACACACACATAATAATTACCATTATCTTGTAATACAAGTGTTCTTTTATACTAGTTTCTTTTAATATTAAATAATTTTATGCTAGTAATAGCTATTTTCTGTGTTTTGTGTCATGTTCATCCAGGTTACCCAATTTAAATGGCTTCAAGTATCAAAAATGTGTTTGTTCATGGCTCTAGGTGCTAGACATCTAAACTCGATCCTAGTCAAGGTAGAGCAGAGCCACACACCTACAGATTTTAGAAGAAAATATGTTCCTTTCCAGCTTTTGGTGTTTCTCTGCTGTCTTGCCTTTTCTTGTAGCTACATCTATCAGCCTGTATCTGCATCTTCACAATCTCTCCTCCTTGCTAAGTCTCCCTCTGCTCTTCTCTTACAAGGATACTTGTGATGGCAGTTAGTGCCCATGTGGATAATATGAGGTTGTTTCCGTATATCAGTGTTCTGAACCATATTTGCAAGGGCTCTTTTAGCCTTATAAAGTGCCATTTAGAGTCCCAGGGATTGGGATGTAAGTATTTTTGGATGGTATTCAGACCGTCATTGAAAAGGCTTTCATAAGGTTGAAGTTTGGCAAAGTGTTAGTGTAATGAAAAAGAAACAGAACACGGTGCTTTTTCTGGCTGCTAGACTAGTTGAAAAACCTGCTTATGACTCAGACTCTAAAAAGAAATTAGTAATTGATAGGAAATGAAGATTCTAAACACCTGTTTTTAGATGCTTTGCAACAGACTACAGCAGACATTTGGAATCTAGTAATCCAACGGGTCATTGAAGCTTATTTTACTTGACAGTAAATGATGCAGCACATGGCTTACTCTCTGTTGCTTAACTCCAACTGCACAGAATGTGTGTCTGTATTGTGAATGACTGTGTTAATTTCTGTAGCCACTCTGCACTTGATCCAGAAGTATTCCTTTTGGTAGAATAAAGAGTAACATTTCAAACTGTTTTATCTGGCTAGAAGTGCAGCTCTCTAGAAGCAAGGACCAAGGAGAGAAGATATACTCCAGAACGTAGGTCTGGTAGTAAGAGTGTTTTTTGGTTTTATCATATAATTGTTTTTGTTTTTTTTTGTTTCTATTATATAGTATTGATTACTATGTTGGTAAGTCACAGTTTTCTTCAAGGAAGACTTGTTATCATTAGCATTTCTTTTAATGAGTGGGTTAGAAGTTTTTCTAGCCTTGCTATAATTTCTTTAACTAGTGTGGAAATGTTTGTCCTTTACCTGATGCCTTACTTATCCTAAAATAAAAAGATACATAGATTTCTTTTTCTTCTAAGTGAACATTCTTTGAAGATTTGAGAAAGATGAAATAGGTTGTGTTATTGTAAAAGAAAATAATTATGTACTAAAATCACTAGAATAAGGAGTAAATATAAAACTGTATGATGTCACATAGCATTTGTTTCTTAGAATAATTGAAACAAAGTGTGTGTAAACATGTGCATTCTACATTAACTTAGTGTGATGTTAGCTTTCATCGCCAACTTCACACAATCTATAGTCTTCTAGGGAGAGAGTTTCAGGGAGATATTATCTGCGTTGTTTGGTTGGCCAACCAACAACAACCAACACAGGTTGGGTTGGCCTGTGCACATGTCTGTGGAGGGTGTTTCAATTAAGATCATTGGTGTGGAAAGACCCAGCCCACTGAGGGTAGTAGCATTCCCTAGGCAAGTGGTTCTGCACTCTAACAAGAAAGAAGAAAACAAATTGATTACAAGCAAGGAATCAAGTGAGCATGTATGCGTTCATTTCTTTCTGTTCCTGGCTATAATGTGACTAGCTCTTTGAATTTCCTGCCTTGGTTCCCCTACAGTGATGGACTATAGTCTGGAGTTGTAAGATGAAACAAACCACTATTCCCGCCCTCACCTAAATCCCCGAGTTGCCTTTGTCCAGGTATTTTTATCACAGCAACAGAAGGAATAATATTTAGGATATTTAGGAAGGCTTCCTGGATGAAAAGGAAATCTGAGAAAAGGCTAGTGCTAGTTTCATGTATTGTTAGAGTCATATACACAAGGAAATAAGAGTTTTAGGGGAACTAGGTATGGAGTCTTATAAGAAGGAGTAATGAAAGCATTAATGCAGGATGAATAAAAGTACAGAATGTACTTGCTCAATAACTTCTAAGTATATTTAATTATTTGGCATTTTAGGTATAAAATATATATCATTTAAAATAGATTTGATTAATTAATTTTAAATCAAGTCAGAAAGTTACCAAGTTTTCTCTTAGAATATTGGCAGCAATATTGTAAAACACTGTCAGCAGATTAAAGTCTCCTTTGCAAGTAATCTTCTTGCCCTAAGTCTGGCATCTTTTAATAATAGAGACCTGATTTCCTGTTGGAACACCAGTGCATTTGGTATTAAGACTTTAACCTGTTTTTGTTTTCTTTTTTCCACCTTTCCCTGGCAGCTTAGTCAAACCATGAAACTGGCACGTCACCAGCTGGCATCCTTTAAAACTGTGAGTGAAAAAAAGACATCAGTGTTTCCAAATGGCGGAAGGAAAAGCTCTCCCACCCAAGAGGTATATTAATTTCCAGTATGCTGCTTTAAAAAATACATGAAAGCATAGTTAGCAATTTATTTTTATATCAACATACTTTAAAAATGCAAAATAATTGGAAGTAATTTTTAATATCTTTGAATAGGGAATGCTTAAATAAATTAAAACATATCTAAATACTGCCATTCTTTAAAAAAAATTATATGTTTGGTACCTGAAGATTGGGGAAAATTTTTAGCTGAACAAAGTAGGATATACAATTGCATAGTCTATAGTTAATTTTAAAAGTATGTGTTTACTTAACAAATATTTGTCAGGTGACTTCTGTACTAGTATGGAAGTATATGATAAATAGGTAAATGACTAGAATCTGAAATGAGAAGTTGTATGTGATAAAGAAACATGAGGCAGGGAGAGGAGGCTGTGTGTCCAGACAGACATTTGGATAGAAGTGGTGCAGGACGTTAGTACTGGGCTTCCTTTCCTCCCTTGAACTTGCTGAGAATCAAATTCAGGGCCTCATATTTCTGCATATTATAGCTGATTTTTACTTCCTTCTGTCTTTTTATTTCAAATGTTTTACTTTCTAATAAGGAAATTGTAAATACTATTTTTGTTTGTTTTTCAAGATAGGGTTTCTCTATGTAACCTTGATTGTCTTAGAACTAACTTTGTAGATTAGGCTGGGCTTGAACTCACAAAGATCTCCTTGCTTCTGCCTCCTGAGTGCTGGGATTAAAGGTGTGTACCTCCACCACCCAGTATGAGTACTATTTTTAATAAAGGAATTTAATTCTAACCTTAAGTTTAGAATGAAGAATTAGAAACTAAGTGCAGATCTAGGCTTAAAAGTATATTTGGGCCTGTTCTTGTGAAATGACGTTATTTGGATCTCCTACTTATTTCAGATTTTACTAGATGGATGCTCAGTCCATGTGTTTTCATGTGTTTGCTCATTAACTTTGAGGTTTTGGTGGCAGCATGTAGTAAAGTAGACACTTAGGCTTTTTAGAGTACTTCCGCCATCGACTGTTTCTCAGTTCTTTCCCGTTTCAGTGCCTACTTGGCATATGGTGTGGACCATACACATCGTGTGCTGCTTCACTACAGCCGTACATTCAGGGAGACGTGCTGCTAGTCGATTTCCTTACTGTGTAAACTCATAGTGCATACTCAGACAAACTAAAGGTTACCACAGCATTCATTAGGTGATAGTCTTATGCCCCTACCCCCATCACATAGGTCGGTTTTTCTTTAAGTGTTGCAACATAGATATCTGTCTCTAAGTTTGTAATTTCCTGGGTACTAAATTATGAATATCTTCCTCTTCAGTAGTAATGAAAAATTTAAAAATTAAATTTAAAAAGCTATTGGGTATCTATATATTCACATATGGTATCCCATCCTAGGTATAGTCATACGGTAGCTTTTTCCTAGTATCCTGTTGTGACTTTTGAAATACTTTTTATTTTGTGCCTTCTTCCTTCTTAAACCTTCCATGGATTTGGACTGTTAGAGTTACTGGAGAGTACCATTAGAAAAAGGATTGGACACTTTCTAATATGCCAGGAAAAAGGTGGTGTTAGTTCTTAGAGACTGATATTTTACATTGTTTGGAATATACTCAGACATTTCAACTGGTGTCTCTCCAGAGAAAATACTGTTCATATAGTTAATCCCATAGAAGAGAGAATTAATCCTGAGATAAGAACATCCTTGTATAAACCAGTTTCATACGTCAGAGGTGCCATATGAGTGTAATTTATTATTATTATGATAATGATAATGGGTTCAGGCTTGCCGCTTGTTTCCAGGGAATGTCATATTCCTTTTCAGACTGAAGAATGGAAATAGATCCACTCCACATAACTGGGAATGATCTATGAAACTACTGCAGCGTTTCCTACACGTACACTTATGCTTTCTTTCCTATCTGACCTGTATTCTGCCTTCCCATATGTGTCAAGTAGAAACTACCAATCAAAAAGAACCACACTGTAACCCAGTTAGGTTCTGCTGTCATTCTTTTATTAGACTTTAGTGGCTTCTATTTGTTATTGTCATTCAAAATTTGAGATACAAGTACAGCATGTTCTCGCTGGCCCCTGTCAGATTGCCAAGAGTGAAGTTATGATCTTCTGTAATTGTTAGTGGCTAGAAAAACTACAGGTTGTCAGTTCTAAAGTTGATGTATTCTTCCAGTATGTTTTATTCCAGATGTTGATGTGCAATTTATTTGTATGTTTGAAGTACAAATAATAATTTCCCTTTATTCTAAGCTACTATTTATTCTATATCGTTCATAAAGATTGAATATCATGAGGACGTTGCTTTCTCTAGACCATTTATATATAGGTTGGCTTGTTTTACCTCCCCAGAAAGCCCTTTTTTAGAAAACCAGCATATATCAAGATAAATAAACAAACAGGAGAGGAGCTCCCTACCCTGAGGTCCATGTAGGCCCTTTAACTACAGTGTATTACCAGACTTTATAGAAAATCAGGTAGGGAAATGTGTTGTGGGAATATCAAAAATGAATGGCAAGTTCCTCCGCTATGCCCTGCGGCTACTCTCAGCCTCAGTGGTCTCCCCGGCCAGTTCACTAAGTTCCCTCTGGTGGGTCCCTACCACGCTGGCCCTGTGCTTCAAATCCCCCACGGCCTTTGTGGTGCAAGGCAGGCAAACCCATGCTTTGCTGCTGTACCTTTCTCTCTTGAACTCAGACAAGCCTCCATGTGAAGGAACACAACTTAGTTCAGAAACCATGATAACTCAGTCAGTGGGCGCAACAACTAAAATCCTAATCTTGTAAGCCTTATTAAATCTAAATCCTCCAGTGGTAGTGGTGGAGACTGCGAATCCTAAGCCAGGAGACACCAGTAGCTACATCTTGTCCTCATGTTATCCCTGTCCAAAAAGGCCCGCCCTCTCTCTCTCTCTGTCCCTCCCCCTCCTTCTCCCTTCCCTCCACCTCCCTCCTTTCCTCTCCCTTCCCCCTCCCTTCCTTTCACCCTCCCTCCCCCCCCCCTTCCTATTCCCCTCCCCCTCCTTCCCCCTCCCTCTCTCTTTTCCCTCCCTCCCTCGCCCTCCCTCCCTGTCTCCCTTCAATTTCTGGGAGTACAGATTGTCCATCAAATTCTGTAATATTGCCAAAGAACAATATCGTCTCCCACTATGAACATGGGATATCTTTTCATGTATGTAGATCTTTAATTTCTTTTAATTATATTTCATAGTTTAAAGTGTACAGCCTCGTATTTTTATAAACATTTAATGGTATTTGAGTCCATTCTTCTGTTAGACTTGTTTGCAGCCTCTATAGTCTTATTGTTCTTAAAGTTTTGTTGCAAAGGTGGTTCCTACTTGTAATAGCTGCATTGGGTGGGCTTTTTCCTTTTTTTTTAATTGCCTTTTCTTTAGGACCTTGGCTGTGGGAAAATTTCATTTGTAAGTGAGGAGAGAGACAATTTGTTTGTGAGCTGCCAGCAGGATCTCCTTTCTGAAGGCAAAGAAAAAGTTCTCAGCAAAGTTCAGGTAAGGCAATCAAATAAACCAAGTCTCCCAGGGCTCCGGTCTACAGTCTTAGCTACTCGGGGGACGGAAGCAGGAGGATTACAGGTTCCAAGTCAGCCTTGGGTACAGAATGAGTTTAAGGCCAGCCTGAACAACTCTGTGAGAACTTATCCCAAAATAAAAAGATGATTGTGTATGTAGCCCAGAGGTAGAGTGTGTGTCTATTATTCATGAAGCTCTGGTTCAGTCACAAATAATGCAAAAAAGTGTTTTTTAAAAAGTTTGACTTGGATTAAGGATTTATATTGACTCAGGTTATTTTAAGGTTGAACAAATAATAATGTTTCATCTTTTATTCTAGTTTTGTTTGATTATGATATCATTTAATATTATTTTAGGACTCATAGGAAAAAAGTCTGGATTTTTGTTACCATCTAACTTCTTTGTATTTATATTTCCTTTCAGAAAGTAAAATTCAAAAATCCATTATCTGTTGTGATAAAAGAAGATGAACGGAAGCAATTGCATCCTCATAGCCTTCAGGCCGTCCTTCCAGAAGCCCAGGGTTATTTTGTAGAAGTTCAAAGCAGCCTTCCAGAATCTCAGAATGAGGTGATAGATGTCCAGAATGTTGAGCCTAAAGCTTCAGGAATTAAACCTAAAGCTCCAGGTGTTGGGCCAGATGCCCAGGCCACTGGAGTGGAGTTTCAGACCACAGAGCCAGAAGGCCATGCTGTTAAGACGGAGATTCAGGATGTTCTTCAAGTCCAGACTGTTGAGCTGGATGGGAATACTGAGTTGGAAGCCCAGGATTTTCTACCTGCACACCAGGCCTTTCTATCCAGAGACCGAGATTTTCTGCCCAATTGTCAGTACCAGGAGTCTTTATCCAAAGATCATCCTAGTTGCCAGAATGTTTTACCTAAATACCAGGACCAGCATTTTCTACCAGTAGACCAGAAATTTTTACCTAGAAACCAATTTGCTTTACCCAAAGAACAGAATCATCCACTCAAATGTCAGAAGCAGGATCTCCTACCTAAAGAACAGTTTCCCCTGCCCAGACAGCAGTATGTTTTACCTGTATATCAGGACCGAAGAGATCCTCCTGTTCTTCCTAAATGTCAGGATCATGCAGTTCTTCCCAAAGGCCAGAATTATCTACACAGCTATCAGGAGCAGGATCTTCCACTCCAAAATCAGGTAAGGTAGAGCAGGAAGTAGGGTACAAGACACACGTGACTCTCAGTTTGCAGTAGGACCTGCAAGGATTCCTCTACAGCTGATTTGGAGATTTCTAGCTGGAAATGGCACTTTTCTGATTAAATTTGTTCAAAACTTCGAGGTTCTTACAGAATGTTAAAGTAATTTCAGCAATATATTTCATCTTTCTGGGAGACTTAGGTATAAAATAATTCTTTATTAGGATAAAGATTTCTGGTAGCTGTCATCTATTTTGGCAGCTGCAAGTTGGATTGAGGCTTGTCTCACAAGTACCCAGCTGTATCTTTCAACGCAGGTTCCAGGCTAGTTTTCTGCAAGAGATCATTTAGGGGCGAAGGGAGAAGAAGGGCAGAGAGAGAGCAGCACTTAGGGTTGGAGTTGGCCAAATTTTCACCCATGCCTACACTTTGTTATTCTTAACTCAGCAATCAGCAAGTTGTGTTTGCTCTTTTTAAGGCAAATATGGAGAAGCCAGAATCAGTTCTGAGAGGTAGACAAGAGAGTGAAGCGCTTGCTCTGATGTCTGTCAAGATCTCTGTGGGTGCTCTCAGGTCTCCATCAGCAGCAAGGTAGAGCAGAAAAAGAACAGAGATTAGCAGAAACTTAACTGGGGTTTAACTTGGATCTTTAAAGATGCAGTTGAACTTGAGAACTGACAAAACATGGTACCCTGCCGTTATATTTCATATTACTGTAAATTTAAAAATTATCTTGAGATTTTCACCAGTCTTTTGTTTTTTTTGTTTGTTTGTTTTGTTTTGTTTTTGTTTTTGTTTTTCAAGACAGGGTTTCTCTGTGTAGCCCTGGCTGTTCTGGAACTCACTGTGTAAACCAGGCTGGCCTCGAACTCAGAAATCTGCCTGTCTCTGCCTCCCAAGTGCTGGGATTAAAGACGTGCGCTATCACTGCCTGGCTTTCACCAGTCTTAAATATCATTTCTGTCATGTTATTCTGCTACACAATGTATTGTTTTTCTGTTTGGTGAGTTTGTTATTGTGAGTTGTTTTTCGGTTTGGTGGGTTTGTTAGATTCTCTTGTGTGTAGTTTAGGATTAAGAACTAAAATTGAAAGAGTTGGATTTTTTTTTTTTTGTTTTTTGTTTTTCGAGACAGGGTTTCTCTGTGTAGCCCTGGCTGTCTCACTCTGTAGACCAGGCTGGCCTCGAACTCAGAAATCCGCCTGTCTCTGCCTCCCAAGTGCAGGGATTAAAGGCGTGCGCCACCACCACCCGGCGAAAGAGTTGGATTAAGAGTGTAGCATTGTCACTGATTGTAGACCATCACAATTTCCATGGAGTTCTCACTGAAGCAGTTTTACAGTCATGTAAGATTTTGACTAGCTTATTACCCTGGCTGCTGTTATTATTATGTTACTATTGCCACTGTTGCTGTTTTTGTTATCTTTTAGGACAGGTTTCTCAAGCGACCCTCAGCTCTTATGGGAAGAGAGAGAGGGGATGCGGAGTTGCCTCTGGAGTCTCCTCAGCATGCTCCACCTCAGATCCAGGACCAAGTCTTCCTTAGAGAAGAGGTAGAGAGAATCTATAGATTTCCATATGACCCCTGAGAAAGAAAAAAAGACCATTACTTCAATCAGGATTTATCAAGCTAGCTTTTATGTGAAATGCATAAACTTAAGGCTAGAGTAAAATGTCTAGGTATTTTGAAATGTGCCAAAATAATCCGTGGTTTGCTTTAAAATACTCCTAAAACACAACACACACTCTCTGTTCAGTCATTAGTCTAAGATTTTCTCTTGTATTATAATGAGCCCATAATTTCTGCTGAGACAGTTTGTATTCCTTTTGATCAAGTGCATCAGACAGACTTTATCTGGAGAGAAAAGGAAGATTGCAAGAGGAGTTGCTTTGGAAGACTGCACTCATGTTTCACACAGTGTTTGAGACCTAACCTTCCCAGGAGAGTAGATAGAGAGGAAGGTAGTGGAGAACATGCTGCGAAGAACAAAATGCTTAGATTTGGGCTCGAGACTCGACAGGCAGGGCAGCCGTTGCTTCAGGTGTGTACTGTTCAGGTCATGAATAGTGAGCAGAGAGCGGGAACAGGCTGCCTGTTGTTCTGCTTGCCGTTCTGATGGATTGAACCTGCTACAGTCCTCAGCGTCAGCTGTAACTGCTGCTATAGATGTCATCCTCAGATTTGGGCAATTTATGTTGATAGTTATACTTTCTTATAGTACAGGAGCCATGAGCTGGCATCCCATAATATGATAGATGAGAGATGGCAAAAGGAGTTATATCCAGAGTACTATGGATTGTATGAAATCCAGGACTCGCACTCTGCCAGCAAGCAGGTAGAGTGGTGTTTAGTACAGATGGTATAAGCAGTGAGAAGAATTGCTATCTTCATTAATAACATTTTAAAAATGATAGCTACCTTCATGAAGTATTAACAATAGCCAAAATGATTTTAGAACCTTGTATTCATTATCTTACTGAATTCTTACAATAACCTGGGAGATAGATACTGATATGATCCTAGTCTTATAGGTAAAATTACGATTGTTTTACAGATGGTGCTAAGATTGACAGAGATAAGAAATATTTCTACTTTTATGGTATATAACAGATCAGAACATTCTAACTTATTTAGATTACCTGCGGCTATGACAGAAGCCTGTAGTGTTTTCACTATTCCGTCCCCACTTACACAATTTGATGTCTGTTGCAGAGCCAGCAGCCTTCTGTTAGGACAGCTGAAAAGTGGCAAGAGGATTTGTATCTCAGTGGCCGTGAACGTCTTTCACCCAGGCAACGAAGAGACACGTGCAACAGGCGACAGGTAGGGCCGACCACAGAGTCTATATGCTGTTGCAGACATCTTACTAAGCAGGGAGGCTGGTCAAAAACCACATTGCTGTGAAGATTATTTTAGAGCTTATGCCAGAACTTCTTAGAGTTGCATTGCCAAAGTTTGAGGATTGTGAATTAAGATCTCTAGTGTTAAAAGAAATGTCACAAGGCTGTGATCTTATGAATTTCTACTAAAATTCTACTGCCCTTTATATTGTTTCTATTTGTGGTTTTATGAATTATTTTAGAAAAAAAAAAAAAGGCTCTAGGTGACTAGTAGTATTCCGGTGCCTGAAAAAGATCAACACATTTCCTCTTGGTCTCTTTAAAGGAGTCAGAATGATAGGCTGTGGGTTGAAGCTTCTGCTGAATTACCACTCTTTGGGACTTTCAGTTTGGGCCTACAAGGTCGGCCTAGGATGCACTGTCATAGCTTCTTCATCATTGTCCTGTATATAGTCTGAAGGACCTGAGGGACGAGGCCCTCTACCAGTTCCTTCTGTCTGTTATAGTTTAGGCTCATTTGAAGGCTTGGTCTCCAGCTGGTGGTGCTGTTGAGAAGTGATTGGATCATGAAGGTACTGACCTCATCGATGGGCTCTTAGGAGGAGGAGACTAGTGTAGAAGATCATCACCAGGCATGTGTCTTGGAAGAATGTCCCTTTGTCCTGGCCTCTGCCTGCCTCAGTCATCCCTGTCTGTGTGAAATGTATCCGTTTGCACTACTGCGTGCTCCTGCCTTGATGATCTATCTTACACGGTCCCAGACACAATGCATTCATGTGACCTTAGGCTGGTATCTCTGAAACTAAGCCCATGCAAGTCCTTAAGGCCTCCCTTAGTTTACTTTATCAGGAATTTTGTTGCATGAAGAAAATGAAAAGCTGAGAATGGTGGCATACATTTTTAATCACAGCACTTGAGACAGAGGCAGTTGGATCTCTCAGAGTTTGAAGCCAGTCTGGTCTACATAGACCCTGTCTCAAAAAGAAGAAGAAGAAGAAGAAGAAGAAGAAGAAGAAGAAGAAGAAGAAGAAGAAGAAGAAGAAGAAGAAGAAGAAGAAGAAGAAGAAGAAGAAGAAGGAGGAAAGAAAGAAAGTAAAGAAGGAAACCAAAGCTTTCACAACTATTACTACTTTTACTAGTTATAGATATTTAATTTTTTTTGCCATATTACCTATTCTGACTATGTTAGAGCAACAGTAGTTTCTTTTTTGATATATAGTCTACATTTATTTATTTTTTCTTGTAGATTCTTGTGTCTTTAATTATCTTAGATCATGACTGTATCTTAAACTACTTCTCTTGTATAGATGTTCTCAAGTGTTTTCCATTTAAACAAACAAATCAAAAACTGAAGACGACTTTGGCCCAGAGAACTGTGGCTCAGCGGTAGAGAGCTTCCTGAGCATGTGCAAGGCCCTCGCTTCCTTTCCAGCACCACAGAGATGAAAATGAGATTCTTCCTGAGTTCTGTAGACAGTGGTTTTGAAGATTCATAATTCTTCATGATACTCATATTTTTTTTAACCTAATTGTGATCCGCAAATTTAATTTTAGTGATCATAACAACCAGGTTTTTAAAAAGAATCAATGATAACTAGCTCCTTTTTATCTTCCACTGACTTAGACATATAGGCACTTTCTCAGTTACCTATGTTCTGATTACTGTCCTCAGCAATACCCTTGAACTTGGATACTGTTTAGAAGGTTCCTAGATCCATTCATGTTAAATCAGCGGATACTTGACTTCTGATATGCTGCTGGCCCTCTGCAGCCTCGAAATAGGAGACGGCTTGTTCCTGAACCCTTCCTCCTGAACCCTTCCTCCTGAACCCTTCCCCCTTTGCGATTCACTCCTCAAATTTTGATCACTTTTTCTGAGCCTTCCTGTTTACTGAATTTGTTTTCTGTTAGTATGCTATATTTTTAAAATTACTGAACAGTCTCAGTTTCTCTGTGTGTGTCTCTCTCCCTCCCTTTCTGCCTTCCTCTCACCCTCTCCACTTTCCATCCCATAATAATAATCCTCACTTCCTCTCCCTTACCATCTCCATAATATTTACTTCTGTGACTTCAGCCGCCAGATATTTTATTTTGATGATTTTGAAATGTGTTTAGGAATACCCAGTGACTATCTCAGTTCTTACATTCTGTAAGTTCCCCAAGTTGAAGGTGTCCTGAGTGTTCCTTCCAGAGCAGTTACTTTACCTACTTAATTGTGCAAGATCCAAGCCTAGGGACTGTTTCTATATCTCCTCCACACCTTGATTTTAGGTCCCTTTTCAATTAGAAAAAAATCTTTATTATTGTGTGTTTATGACATGACATAATGTGAGTGGTGTTCCATGGAGCGTGTGTAGAGGTCAGCGACAGTTTGTCATCGTTAGTGTCACTGTCACCTCAACCCGCCTGAGAAGAGGGAGCCCCTGCTGAAGAACTGCTTCCCTCAGAGAGGCCTGTGGGCATGCATGAGGGGATCTTCTTATTTGCTGTTTGACGTGGGAGGTCCCAGCTGACGGTGAGTGATGCTCTTCCTGGCCAGATGCTCATGGGCTGTATAGTGGAGGTGGATGAGTGAGCCAGGGAGGCGGCCTCGGAAGCAACGTTCCTCCACGGGCTCTGCTTCAGTTCCTGAGTCAGGTTCCTGCATTAGCTTCTCTCAATGATGGGCCATGATCTGTGAGCCAAATAAACCATTTTCTTTCCTAAGTTGCTTCTGGTTAGTGTTTATCCATCACAGCAATGGAAAGCCAAACTAGTAGTCTCCTTCTACAGTTCCTTGAGTTCTAGGAGTCAACCTCAAGTCTCCAGGCTTGTGCAGCAAACGCCTTTCCTTAAGTCATCCTGCCTCCTCAGATCCTCCTGGTAAGGCAGATTGGGGCAGTTTCACACTCAACTTTTCTATTCTTGTTGCCATCATTTTAGCTCAGACCTTTGCCATTCCTTAGCTGGCCTTTTAACTGTCACCCAGTGTCACCTCCACTTTGTCTGATCTACGAAACTGACTTCTTGGCTTTGACTTTTCCATCCTGTTTCAATTTGTCTTTCACAATACAGTCAGATAGAACCTGTTATCTATAGATGGTAATTTAATTTTAGTACTCCCAAATTGATCAGTTAGGATTCATTTCAATAATTTTTCAATGCAAAATTTTAAATGCAGGAGTGTAGACAGTATAAAGATCAAAGTTGCCTTTCCATATTCTATTTCCTCAGCCTTTCCTTTGTTCCAGATATACCTACTATCAGCAGCTTAAAGCTCATCAATCTAGACCACTTAGTTTGCATACACATACATACACATGCATTCATTCAAATGTGTTTTATTGGGTTGTGTATCACATATATTTTTAAATAATGACATTGCATATCGATTATTCAGCTTTATAAACCTCAACTATTGAATTGTGATACTGTGTTTTTATGTGTAGTAGAAATATATAAACATTTAGGGGTACTTATGCCCTCTTGGAGGTGTTTCTAACTTCTTATGTCTGTGACTTCTTTTCATTTACCCACTGGAAGCCAGTAGGAGGACAGACACTGCTCCAAACTCACCCCCTGACCCAGATTATGACAAACAGACATGCATGCAGGCATTATCACAAGTGCCTGGGAGATAGTTTTATCCATAGACAAGTTTTAAAAGGAAAAAAATCTTTAAAATGAATACAGGAAAAAAATAATGAAATATGAAGAAATAATTCTTTGTTTCTTATATGATAAACCCTTATAAAACATTTAAATCAAAATGTTGGAATATGTGCATGTAATCGCCAGATAAATTCTTATGGAATGTTTAAACACTAGCAAACCACAGAGGGCTGGGGACAGTAGGACAGTGCTTGATGAGTGAGAACCTGGAAAACCCTCTGCTCCCAGAATACATGAATATTTGAGACATGTAACAAACTGCCATGTAAACCATTTTTATTTATAATGTAAGTATATTTTTAAATTTTTGAAACAGAATCTTCATATATATTATATATAGCCCAGATTAGCCTTGAACGTGAAATCTTACCTCAGTCTCTGAATATTGGAATTACAGGTTATCAGTCACCACTCAGCTCATTTTAAACATTTTCAAATATGTGCTCCAGTGGCAGTAAGTACCTTCACGGTATTAGACAGCCTGCCAACTGTCTGTCTCTAAAACATTTTTTACCCATCTATATCTGGAACTCTGTACCAGTTAAACAGAAGCCTGCCCCTCTCTCCTGCTCCACCATCCTGCTTCCAGTCTCGGAGTCTGATTCCTTAAGCACCTCATGACGTAGCTTCGTACAATATTTGTCCTCTTGTGACTGTCCTGCTTCATTTAGCATAGTGCTATAGCATAATACAGTATTTTCACTTTAAAATCGTTAATAATGTGTGTATGTATGTGTGTGTTCTATTTATTCCTCCATTAATGGACACTTTGGTTGTTTGTAAATAAGCTCTAACAAACATGGGTATATAACATTGAAATGTCTCTTTCTGCTACTGAATCCAGTAAGTAGAGAGACAGTGGTGGGAGAAAAAAAACTTTGTTTACAAGCTAGCAAGTGTGAGATGGAAGGCTTTTCACACCCAGGTTCCATCTTGTCAGAGGTTACAAGCTGCGAAGCTTACATGGTGGTTCTGGAAGTCTAAATTTATCAGTAGCCAGATGAGCCTGGGCTGATGATTAATTTTTTGTGTGTTTGTGATGGGAACTCAGGACCTCATGCTCGCTGGACAAGTATTCTTCTTTTGGACTCTACCCCTAGCCTGACCGCTCTTGTAGTAATTGATTGCGTTACATGACTTTGATGATGTCCATAGGTCACCAGGAACACCAGGGATTCCTGATTCCTTTAAACTTAATGCTGATGAATAGGAAGTCATCCCACTAGTGGCTTTCTTGGATGCTTTCCCTTACTCTTCTTTTTAGGCAAGGCTGATGGCAGTGTCAAGCATTTGGAAAGTGGGTCATAAGGGAGCAAGGCAAAACAGACACAATGACAAAGAGATTTGCTGTTGTCAGGACATAAGTTAACCCATTTGGTTTCAGTTAACAGACTTAATAGTGTGTGAGTGACTTAACCTACTTTGGGGTTTATAATACTTCTGATCTCTGGGACAACAACTTAAAGGAGGAAGCATTTATTTTGGTTCATGATTTTGAAAGGTTCACTCCATAGTTTCTTGGTCCCAGGTACTTGGGTAAAATACCATCGAGGCAGCAATATGTGAAGGGGAAGTTCAAGTCATGGTAGCTAGAAGGAGAGGAAGGAACTGGGGACTCAGTATAACCTTCACTGTCACATTCCCAAAGAGCTACTTCCTTCAACTGGGCTCTACCTCCTGAATGTTGTGAAGCCTACCAAAATAGCACCAGTACCTGGGGACCAGTGTATGGACATCTGGAGAGATGGGGGAGCGTGTCCGATTCCAAGCACACCTGATTTCAACATTTCTTCATTTCCTGTGTTACCTTTTTAACTCTGCCAGTGTCCATTTGTATGCAAGTATTAATGTAGTCCAGTTTGTTTATTTTTAATGTTACCTGTATTTTTTTGTATCATATTCAGGAAATTGCCAACTCTTTGTGTTAAGTAGCTTTCCCCTCTTCAAGGCATATATACTAGAATTGGTTTGCTTTCTTATATTGTTTACATCTCTTGATCTGATTTATGTTGAGTTAAAATTTTGTAGACGGTATATGCTAAAGGCTGAGTTGCAGTTTTTGAATGTGAATAGCCGTTTCCTTAATGCTGTTTGTTGAGGAGACTGTCTTTTCCCCACTGAATGCTCTTCCTTATCTAGAGCATCGGACCATGTGTACCATGGCTTACTTATAGTCATTTAGTTAATATACATGTTATATTTGTTTTATATATTGCTGTGTAAAGGTCTTGACTTAATTTATATGGTTTGGCTGGGGATACAACCCAGTAGTAGAGTGTTTGCTTCATGTGCACAAGCCCCTGGGTTTCAGCCCCAGCACCACAAAAAGAAGATATATATGGTTGATCCCTTAACGTTGATCTCAGCCAGCAACATCATAACTCAAACCTGAATAAAACTAACCTCACATGTATTTTCTCTGTGAGACACATAATAACCCCTACCCACTGCACGCATATGCCTCTTGAATGCACACCACAACCTTTCTATTTTTATGAATAATAATATATCTATAGTATAATAAGGGGGTCATGTTACCAGAGAAATTACCAACAAAAATGCACAAAACCACATCAAATTTGTCACCAAGTAGACTGCAGAAAAGATGCGTGTTTATGTCATGAGAGCTGAAACAGCCCCAGCTAGCAACATGCATTCTTTTGTTACTCAAATCTTTCATGTCTGCAAAGGACTATGTAAGTGTTGTGAATGTTGGGGTTCCATACAGATTTGAATGAGTGTATAATTTCTGAGTATGAGAGTGAGTACAAGGGTTCAGTATTTTGTGAGTGCTCACAGGGTTGGCAGCCCGCACAGTCAGTATGAGAATACTTTTATCACTTCCAAAAGATTCTGTTGCCTGGAGTGGTCTGGTTCCATAGTCTTCCCATAGTACTGAAGACCAGTAATTTTTTTTTTTTTTTTTTTTTTTTTTTTTTTTTTTTTTTTTTTTTTTGGTTTTTCAAGACAGGGTTTCTCTTTATAGCCTTGGCTGTCCTGGAACTCACTCTGTAGACTAGGCTGGCCTCGAACTCAGAAATCTGCCTGCCTCTGCCTCCCAAGTGGTGAGTTTAAAGGCGTGTACCACCACCCAACAACCAGTAATTTTTTTTTTATAATTTATTTTTTCTCAAATCGTAATTCATTCACACAGTGGTTATAAACACAGAAAGGCAGGATGTGGGGAAGGGGATGACACCGGAGCGTGGGTGTTCAGGGGGAATACAGATATCTTTCAGAACAGGGTATCAGCTGGGTGAAGGTTCAGGGCACAGGTCACTATGACTCTGCCTATGACTCGCTTAAGGAATTTTAAAGTAATTTTTTTTCCTTTCTAAAAGTTAGAAATTATTGCTTGGCTTATAAAATGCTCAGGTAGGTGTACCAACTAACATTAAGACTTTTTCTAAAAGATATAGTAGGTAATCAGCCCCAGTTTTTCCCATGCCATACCAGACAGACACATCAAGAGGATTCACAGAGCTTTTGGTAGTTTTGTCACATTTTGTCATTGGACTTTGTAGCAGGTCTGTGAGGAGTATCGGTCGGGACTGAGCATTGAACAGCAGGCTCTGCTGCCATTTCAGTCTGGAGTGGATCAAGAAGAAGACAAAAAAGAGGTATGTGAGGGTGCTACTTCTGAATTCTGTTTGAAGTTGGAAGCAGTTCACTAGTCTAACTCATTAGAACAACAGGCTCCGGGGCTGGAGCGATAGCTTAGCAGGAAAGAGCACATGCTGCTTCTTGAGAGAAACGGGAGTTCAGTTCCCAGCCCCTACATGGTGCCTCACAACCACCCCTACATAGCACAGACTCAGATGACCTGATGCCTTCTTCTGGCCTTTGCAAGCACTGTATGCATTTGGTACACAGGCACACATACATGCAGAACACTTGGTACACACACAGGCACACGTACATGCAGAACACTTTACCAGCATGCACAAGAGAAATGAAGGATTTGTGTAACCCAAAATGCATGTTGCCTGCTGGGACATATAAAAATAAATAGATATTTTTTAAAAATGGAAAAGAAAAGTCAGAAATTCTGAAGATGTTCAGTCAGTATGATATGCTTAACTTCTCTTACAGGCACTTGGGATTTAAGCTGCATTTATGTGAAATCACAGATTTGATTCAAGTGAATTTCTAGCTGTACATATTTGCCACTATAACTTACGTAAGAGAGTACTTTTATTTTTGGCTTTCCTGGCCCTTCAGTGAAAAAGTAGTGTAAACTAATAGTTTTAAATCCTGGCCAACCACACGCCAGTGTCAAATGGGAAACATTCTTCTGCAGCATCTTCAATAATGAGAGTCACTCTTCAGATGAAGATTCTTTTACCAAGTGTATGTGTAGATGTGTCATCTCTTTGAGTAGCCTGTGTCCTTGAAAGAGAGTATGTTAATCCAGAGGTATAAACAGATCATGCACAGTAGAGGAGCACTTGCTTTTATTATGTTTATTCTGTTTATGATACTCTGATATACCTCATCTCTTTTGTACTTCTCTTATCATGTGTGGCTGGGCTTGGAGTATGTTTTTGTGATGTGATTTTAGTCTTTACAAGTTAAATGAGCTATTGTTGTTTTATAGAATGCCTCCCTCCCTTTCTCTGCGGCCCTGCTTTTATGATACTTCTTGAGAGCACAGAGTAAATATAGTATGTACCTTATTGTGGCAAATATAACAATTTCCTAGGTACTGTTGACAAGTGGAATATACTGAGGGCAATCTGATATGTGTGTGTGTGTGTGTGTGTGTGTGTGTGTTTTCAGATCATATTAACTTCTTCAGTTTTTACTAAATTTTCACTTTTACTAGTTTGACTATTAACAAAACAGCTATGTACTTGAAAACAGTCCCATTGTCAATCTAGAAGGAAGTTAATGGTCTTATCACATATATCTTCGATATCTGACAGTTTTCTCTTCTTTAGAATAAAAATATTACCCTTCTTTGCAAAGTTGTCTGGATGGGCTTGATAATTGTAACTTCTTTCCTTTAGCGTCAAAAGCAGTATCTGAGACACAGGAGGCTTTTCATGGATATCGAGAGAGAACAAGTGAAGGAACAGAACAGGCAAAGGGAACAAAAGAGGAGGATTGAAAAGTAAGTGCTTTGATTCTCATTCCGAGACTGAAGTGACCAGTCAGGGCAATGGAATGCTTGCTAACACCAAGGGCTGGAAATCACCACGTCTGGGCTCGTGCTGTAGCTCAGTGGTAAAACATACGCTTAGCGTTCATGGCAGCCTGGGTTCAATCCCTTGCCGCCATACCACTCACTACCCAAAAGAAAAAAAAAGGAGCAATTATCAGGCTGTAGTCTTTCTTGTTTTCTTTTTTTTTTTTTTTTTTGAGACACATTCACTTTGTAGGAACTCATTATCTAGACCAAGCTAACTTCAAATTTGTAGTCATTCTCCTGCCTCTGTGTCCCAAAAGCTAGGATTACAGGTACACTACCATGTCTTACTTGGTTTTGTTTGTTTGTTTTGTTTTTTAATAAACTTAATTTTTTAGAACAGTTTTTAAGTTCATAGTAAAACTGAGTGACAGAGAAACCTCCAGATAACCTCCCGCCTGCTGTTAGTGCACAGCTTTCCCACTAGGACAGTCTGCTAGGTCTGATGAGCATACATCGACACACCAGTACCCAGAGTTCATGGCATATTGTAAGTTTCCTTTTGGTGTTGTATATTCAAGTATATAGTAATGAGATGTGTCACACACACATCATACAATTGTTTCCATTGCCCTGAAAACCTGTGCTTGGCCATGTCTTCCCTCTAAGGCCACCCTCTTCTGCTCTGTGGTTTCACGTCCTCCAGTGTCTGGGTAAGCTCTTCAGGTCAGTTTCCTATGGCTAGTGATACAAATCTAAGGTTCTTGCACTTACTTTTCTTGTTTCCATAGTTGTTTCTCTTAAAAATGTATTGTTTGTACGGGGGGGGGGGGGTACTCATACATGTGGATGTCGGAAGACAGCCTGTGAGAGTCAGTTTTCTTGCATCCTCTCACACATGTGGATGTCAGAAGACAGCCTGTGAGAGTCAGTTTTCTTGCATCCTAAGGAACAAACTCAGGTTGTCTAGTTGGTGGGAAACATTTTTACTGGTTAATACATTTTATTGGCCAAATAGCTGTTTTAAAAAATATTTAATTAAAAAAATTAGTAGTCTACCTTCTTGATGTAGAACTGTTTTAAGTATCCTTTTGCCTGCTTAAGGACATCTTAGATGCTTATACGATTTGGTACTTTTGAATAAAGCTACTATAACAGCTGCTGTGTGAATTTTCCCAAGGACATATATTGCTGGCTCAGTTGGGGAAATATGAAGTGTGATTTCTAGATAATGTGCAAAGTCTGCTTTATCTTTGTAAGAAACTTCCATAGTGTCTTCCACAGTGTCGCCTTTCGCCTTCCCACCAGCAGTGAGAGAATTCCTGTTGCTCATGTCCTTGTCAGCGTTTGATGTTGTCAAGGTTTGGGGTCTGGACATTCTAATAAATGTGTATTAGAGGGGTGGTATTTCCCTGTCATGGCTCAGCTCCCTGGTGGCCTGAGACATGCAGTGTCTTCCCACATGCTCCCTGGTGGCCTGTGACATGCAGTGTCTTCCCACGTGTCTTCTCACAGGCTAAGTTGCCATCTGCTTGTCTTCTTGGGTTCTGTGTCTCTTCAGATCTGTTGTCTAATTTTTAATTGGGCTATTTGTTTTTATTTATGTTTATATTTTTATTAATTTTTTGTACAATATATTTTGATCATATTCTTTCCTCTCTTCAGCTCCCCACAGATCCTCCCTGCCTCCCTCCATGCAACTTCATGTTCTTTCTCTTTTTCAAAACAAACCTAAGACATCAAAACAAACTAAAAAAAAAAAAAAAAAGAAAACCAATAAGACCAAAAAGCAAACAAACAAACAAAACAAAATAAAAAGTACACAGAAATCCCTGAAATCTGTTTTTTGTTGGCCAACTACTCATGGGCATGGGGTGGTTGCTAATACCCAGTGAGACTCCATTTGAAAAAATCTGGTTTTTCTTTTCCTATCAGGTGACAGTTGCAAATAGCTTCTTTGTTAGGTATGGCACTTTGTGTCCATGTCTCTTTCTCAGTGATGGGGTTTTCTGGTTTGAACCTGTGTAGGTCCTGTGCATGCCTTCTTGGTCTCTTTGAGTTCATATGTGTATCAGCCTGTGTCTGGAAAATGCTTTATCCTTAGAGCCATCCCCCATCCCCCACCTCTGACTCTTGTACTTTTTCTGTTTCCTCTTCACAGAGACCCTGAGCCTTGAGGGGAGGGGAAAAGACATCCTATTTAGGACTGACTACTCCAAAGTCTCACTCTGCACACTGTCCGGTTGTGGGTGTCAATGTTAGTTTCATCTACTGCAGGAAGAGTCTTTTCAAATGATAATTGAATGATTTCTGCTCTAGGGGTATAACATTATGTCATTAGGAGTCATTTTATTGCTATGTTCCTTTAGCAGAATAATAGAATTAGGCTCAAGATAAAATTCCTTTAGGTTCATCACCTGTCTAGTCTCAGGTTCTCAGGCTTTGGAGTGGGTCTTAAAACTGGATCAGAAGGTGGTTGGTCACTCCGTGACGTTTGTACCACTCTTGCACCGTACACCTTGCAGGCAGGTCTCTGTTGTAAGTTACAAAGTTTGTAGCTGTGTGATATGGATGTTTATGTTGCTCCTTCAGTCGCAGGCCTAATCCCTTCCAGCACCATGAATACAGGTCAGGAGAGGAAGCACTGGCTGGCTCCCTCTCTCCACCTCAGTGATACTGTTATTTTATTTTGACGTTAAAGAGTTTTTATGTATGTCTGTGTGGAGTACAAGGTCTTTGTAAAATCTTTTGAAATATTTTCATTCAGTCTCTTGTCATATCTTTTCATCCCTTTGACGGGGTGTCTTTTCCGGGCAGAAGATTTTAACAAAATCTATTTTATCATTTCTTTTTCATGGATTAATGCTACCACGTGCAAATCATCCAGCTTTGTCAGTCCTGCTATCTTCTAGGAGCTATATGGTTTTATTTTATATTCAGCTCTATAATTCATTTTAGATGGGAGTTGTTTTTGTTTTTAAGACAAGACCCAGGCTGGCCTGGAACTCAGTGTATGTAAGAATAATCCTGAGCTGTTGTTGCTACTTCCTGCTCTTCTCAGTACTGAGAGTATAGTTCTTGATTACACCATGCCTGCTTTGGAAGTGGCTTTTTGTTTTTGTTTGTTGTTTTGCTTTGTGTTTTTTTGAAAATAGGATCTTGCAGTTGAGATCAGATTGGTCTTGAACTCATAACCTTTCTGTTTAAGGCATTGAAGCTCTGGGATTATAGATATGTGCCACCATGCCTAGCTGCACTGTTTGAATTAAGTTTTATTTTTATTTTATTTACTTTTTTAAACATTTTAATTTTTTTTATTTATTTTATGTATGAGGACACTGTCACTGTCTTCATACACACCAGAAGAGGGAATTGGATCCCATTACAGATGGTTGTGAGCCACCATGTGGTTGCTGAGAATTGAACTCAGAACCTCTGGGAGAGTAGTCAGTGCTCTTAACCACTGAGCCATCTCTCCAGCCCCTAAGGTTTTATAAGTAATACAAAGTCTGTGTTAATTTATTGTGTGAAGACACTCAGGTATTTCCTAGCCCCGTTATTTAAAAGACTGTCTCTTCTTCGTTACGTCCCTTTGCTCCTTTGTGGAAGGTCAGTTAATTATGTTTATGTGCGTCTGAAATCTCTGTTCTGTCCTACTGATCTATTCGTTCATTCCTTCAGAATGTTTCACATGCTTATTAAATCTGGAGCTTCAGCCCTCGGCCTTCACTCTTTTCCTCATACATCGTCTCAGCTCTCCTTTTACCTCACAGACTTTACAGTTAGTGTATCTGAGTCCATAAGTACTTGCTTGGTTTTAGAACAACTTGGGGGGGTCTTGTTTGTTTGTTTGTTTGTTTGTTTGTGTGTTTGTTTGGGTGGTGGCTTTGTTATTTTATGTGTGTGCGTGTGTTGCTCACATATATGCGTGCGTACCACATGGGTGCATGCCTGTTGCCTACATAGGTCAGAAGCCAGAGTCAGATCTCTTAGAACTGGAGTTACAAACAGTTGTGAGCTGCCATGTGGGTGCTGGGAATTAAAGCAGGGTCCTGTGAAAGAGCAGCCAGTGTTCTCCGTTGCTGAGCCTCTCCCTAGCTCAGCTTTGTTTCTCTCTTTCCTCTCTTTTCTTTCCCCTCTTTTTTTTTTTTTTGACTACTAACATAATCAAATCTTCTCTCTTTTGATTACTAACATAAGTATATATTTTTTACAATCTGCTTTTTCCCTGTTCCTTGTTGACATAGAAAAAATGACTTTCAATATACCTTTGCTTTTAATATTAGTTCCAAGAGTGATTTTTGGTGATTCTTTAGCACTTCTATCTAGATGACATACTACTATCTTTGAACAAAGACATTAACTTCCTAGTCACTAGCCTTTATTTCCTTTTCCTGTCTGATTGCATTTGCTAAGACTCCCAATACAATGTAGAGAAAATGGTTGAAGAACCATTCTTGGTTGTTTCACACTTAAATATGGAAGCTTACAGTTTCTCACCATGAAATATGGCCTTACCTTTTAATTTTTTTGTAGGGCATATAGAGGTCAGAGGTGGATGAGACGAGTGTCTACCTCTGTCACTCTCCATTTTATTTTTGAGACACAGTTCTTCATTGTACCTAGAGTTTGATATTTTGGCTAGGATAGCCCCTAGGATCTTTGTTTCTATTCTTTAGTGTTGGGGTTACCATGCCTGGCTTTTACATGGCTCCTAATGCTTACAGGCACTCTGCCTCAGCCCTCTGAAATGAGTATAATACTTGTTTTCTGGTATGATGATTACAGGAATTGGAGAAATATATGTAGTGGACTTCAGTTACAACTACATATATACCAATATATGTAGTGGAAATTCAGTTACCAACTTTTAACAACAGTTTTTAAAAATGAAATATTCTTAACACAATACAAGCTAAAGATTTGCTAACTTTGAAGTTTCCAGCTAATATAATCTTAAGATATAATAATTTCATCTTGAGGAA